GGGTGCAGCAGGCGCAATGATATTACGCAGCGCCTGAAAATAGGCTAACTTCTGTCAACATAACCAACGTGACCACCTGCTTGCACAGGGAGCATGCTGGGGACTATTTTCAGGCAAATAGTGGAGTGTTCCTTTAAGGAGGCAGCCTTATCAGTGGCAGTCGTTGCATTAATGTTTTTGTTAGCCTATCCAGTTGAAGCCACTAGATGCGACGCTGCTGCATTGGTCATTAAAAATACATCAATGCGGAGAAGATCTTGTTTACATCAAAACTGAAACCAAGCCATTCACAAACGCATATTTCGCGCATTTTTTCTAGAGGGACATCTATCACCGTTGCACTCGTGTCTCACACAAAGCAATAGCTATTCTTCACCATAACTGAAATTATGCATTTTAAATTCGAATATAATTTGAATTTTTAAGTACAAAATTCTAATTTTGTTTTTGAGCCATTTTGACAGCCCTGTAACACATATTCAATATAACACAGAGCTCAGGCAGTAGGTTAAGTTTAGTAATCAGCAACCTACTAATCTTTAACTAGATGTTGTTTTGATGTTGTGTTACTGTGACAAGCTATAAGTTCTCAGTTTGACATTAAAAATCAATTGACAAAGAAGGAGGAGATGGCAGGGTTTATGAATGACATGACTGGATCTGTTCAAAAGTTTGGGGTTAGTAAGATTTTTTTTTTTTTGAAAGAAATTAATGCTATTATTTAGCAAGGACATTAAATTGATCAAAAGTGACAGTAAAGGCATGCATAAAATAAAAAAAAAAAATCTATTTAAAATAAATGTTGTTTTTTGAACTTTCTATTCATCAAAGAATTCTGACAAAACGTATCATGGTTTCCACAAAACCATATGAAGCAGCACAACTGTTTTCAACATTAAAAATAATAAGAAATGTTTCTCGAGCAGCAAATCAGCATATTAGTATGATTTCTGAAGGATCATGTGACACTAAAGACTGGAGTAATGATGCTGAAAATTCAGCTTTGCATCACAGGAAAAAAATACATTTGAAAACATATTCAAAAAGAAAATAGTTATTTTAAATTGTAATAATATTTCACAATATTTTAACTGTATTTTTGATCAGATAAATGCAGCCTTGGCGAGGTTTCAACTCAAAAACATTTAAAAACTTAAGCTAACCCAAACTTTTGAACAGTTTTGTAAACCATGCTTAAAGATGAGCAAAATATCAAACCAAGTGGCATTTATTTTAGAGAAATAAAGCATTTTTCAAGCAGCAAAATCCCCAAAATAAGTCACAATACTGACAGTAGACATACTCATATATTCATACATGCACTAAAAGCACATTGAGACTGGCTGCTTAAACTGAAGTTAAAAAATATGAAGTCATATAATATGAAGTCATATAGCTGAACTGTAGGTAGTTGAGTGGCGTGTTTGTGTTGTACCTGGGTAGTTTAGGCATTGACGGGATGAGAGAGCCGGTGCGCTTGTAGTTGAGGAAAACTCCCACAACCAGAGCTCCAGTAATCAGACTAATAACCACTGCTAACAGGACGGTCACAGCTACACACACACACACACACACACACACACACACACACACACACACACACACAGTATGTAAGACATATGAGTGTAGTCTCATTAGTTTTCATTTGAAATTAACATGCGTAACGAGATGGATAGAGTAATTAGAGTTGATAAATAACAACATCACATGTTACAAACCGTGAGCAAATGTGTTTACAATGAAACTAATAATAACTAATTAACAAGGAAGGGTTTGTTTACCTGTTCCTGCAGGAGCACCTCTAGACTTCCCCATTTCACAGTAACTACCCGAGTAACCGTATGGACACCTGAGGAGCATAAACACTGAACGGTTACAGACAATCTACAGTCTGGCTTTGACAAAAATGGTTCTTTCTACAATCTGATACTTACTGCATATTTTTGGATTTTCATGATGATTGTCATTTGTGTTCACATAGTCGTATTGTATTTGCGACTATTGTATTTATATGTTGCAGAAGTTCAGGAGTCATTTTAATTTTTTTAAAATTGCAATATTAATCTAATTATTAAAATAATATTTAAGTAATAAATTAAATGATGTAGTTTCATATTAAATATCGCCATATTATATATCAGTCAATTATCACTAAATAGAGAGGTTTTGCGTATGACAAATTATGTTTATAAATGAAATAACAATCTATCTATCTATCTATCTATACACACACACACACAGGTCCATATATATTTGGACATTGACACAATTTCGGCTCTGTATGCCACCAGAATAGAATTAAAATGAAACAATCAAGATGAAATTGAAGTGCAGACTTTAAGCTTTAATTCAAGGGGTTGAACAAGAATATTGTCACACATTATGGATTTTTAGTTTGCTTTCTCTCCTCGTGTTCTTTGATCTAGTTTTTGTCTCCCCTTAATTATGTCAGTTGGTTCAGGTGCGTTTTATTAATTATCCTCATTTGCCTTTGTACTTAAGTTCAAGTCTGTTCAGTTTGTCTTTGTCCGGTCTTGTCGATGTGTACATGTGTTTCAAGCCTTCCTTGTGTGGATTACCTTTATGTGGATTTATTAAAGACTGTTTGATATAATGTAATGACTTTTACATTTAATGTAAAAGTCAGTGAAAGCGATTTTAAACTTTTTACACTAAACACCAGTAACCCAGTGCCACTGGAAGCCATGCATGCTCATGCCATCACACTGCTCCATGTTTCACAGATGATGCTGTATGCTTTGGATCATGAGCTGTTCCAAGCCTTCTCCATACTTTTTTCTTCCCATCATTCTGGTACAGGTTGATCTTAATTTCCAAAGAATGCTCTTCCAGAAGTGGTCTGGCTTTTTTAGATGTTTTTTGGCAAAGTCTAATCTGGCCTCAAATATCCTCAAATTAAAGTTCAGAGTGTGCACTTTAAGCACATATACATTATATAACTGTAACTTGAATATGTTTTGGTCAACAGCAAAAATACAAAAAATTGTGTTAGTGTGCAAATACATATGGACCTGACTATATATATTTTTTCTTCCCATCATTCTGGTACAGGTTGATCTTAATGTCCAAAGAACGCT